ATAAAATCATAAGTTTCATATACTTTTAAAAATTTAGGGAATTGCTACTTAGAAGAAAAAAATTTATACATTCATATGATTTTATGAATTTTAGAAAGTTATTTTTTTTTTTTTGATTAAATCATTTTAAAATTGAGATTTTTACATCCTTCTTTTTCTTAAAAAAAGGAAAAAAAATGTCTAGATCATTTTATTTGACATATTGTACAAACATTAAGGTAAACATAATTTATCTAAAATAATTTATTTCAAGTTTTCATCTAAGATAATTTATTAAATGACAAATTAAATCCTAGTTTATACCACTACAATTAAAAAATCGCTGTATAATTGTGTTAGATAAAAAATATAAAATAAGATGAAGAAAATGTAAGCATAATAATTATTAATATTTATTATATAATAAAAAATAAATGATTTTTAATACTTTTAGTAGTTTATATTATTTCTTTTTTTCATTGTAATAGTTCATAATTTTTAACAGTTTGTATTTTAAAAAATAAAAATTCTTTCATTCTTTCTTTTCTCATTTACATAAATCTATCTGATATACTTCGAGTTTCTATTGTTTACATAATCAATTACAGATATTATCTCACCAAAAGAAAAAAAAAGTTGAAAAAAAATTAAAAATGGAAGATTAATTTTATGTTTAATCTTCCGTTTTTGAAAAGATGAAGAAGCACAGTTTTTTAATTAAATTTTATTTTTTCTTGTTTGGTAATTTAAAATAGACCGAGAAAAAAAAAGAGAGGAATGATTCGTTTTCTTTTTAATTAAATACCATTATTAAAATTTATCATTCATTATTTTATTGTTCAAAAAAAAAAGAAAGGAAAAAAAAAAAAAAAAAAAAAAATGTTATTTCTCTTACTTTATTACTTTTAAATGACTGCAAAAAGTCACAAAGAAAAGTATAAAAAATGAATTTATTCATTTCACTCAATAATAAAATGGAATATCTCTCCTCTTTTTATATTATTAAATGATAAAAGTAATATGACATCGGTTAACGAATTAAATTATAAACTATTAGATCAAATGTATTCCTCCTAAATCCCTCTCTCTCTCTCCCTCTCTGTCCCTCTCTCTCTCTTTATCGTTCAGTAATGTTTCTTAAGTATTTATATTTATATGTTAGAGCGTTTAAAAATAAATGAAATTGTTTTCACAAAAAAAAAAAATTACGCTTACGCAGCACAGACAATATGAAAAAAGGAAAATCGTAATTTCATTAATTAATTTTGAACTTTAATTAAATTATGCTTTTTTACATCTAAAAAATGAATAATTTATGGAATTTAACAGTATTAAAATGTATTTTCGAAGTTTTTAAAACAATGAATGCTTTGTTTTTGTGTTTACTATTAGTATATGCATTGTTGTTTGTTTGTTTGTTTGTTTATTTTGTTTGGTTTTGTTTTTTTTTTTTTCTTTATTGGTAAAATTAAACTAAATATTTATTTTTCTTTTTTGATTTCTAACATTTTTTTGTTACTTTTTAATAATGTTTTTAGTTTACTTTCACCTTTTTTATTACAAAATATTTCATTTCTAACATTTTTTTTTCTTTAAATTTAATCAATGCAATCAAATTTTAAGATCAAAATAAATTAATCAAATTTGAATTAATTTAAAAAGAGCAACCAAATCAATAATTATGGATAAATGATGACAAAATATACAAATTATGCAAGTATGTCAAGTATAAATCATATCCAAATAATTTTTTTCAAATAGATTAGTTTGTTTTTCATTAAAAAAAATAAGAAAAAAAAATTAAAAAAAAAATAAACTAGAAAAAGAATGAGAAATAGATAGAGAAGAGAAAAAAAAAACAAAAAAAAAAAGTGGTTTTTCTGATAAAAATTTTTCTTCCATTTCATTGCTTATATATTTTCATTTTTCAATTTCACATTTTTTTTTTTTAAAAAATAAAAAGAATTAAAAATTTGCAACATTTCAAATTCGTTTTTTTTTTATTGTAAACATAATTAGGAAGGATAAATTATGATGGATAAAAATGGAAAAGATTGAAAAAAAAAAGAAGCTATAGATAAAAAAATCTGTAAATTTTAAATTTATTGAATTTTGTTGAGAAGTTATTGAAGCAATTCGTAATTTATTCTGAATTCATTAAGCAAATTTTATGCTTCTTTTCTCTTATTTTTTCGTTTCCTGTCATACTTTTTTATTTTTAACGATTATTTTACTTTTCCCGTTAGCATTTTTTTATTTTTTACATTTCGTCTAACATTTTAAATATATTTTAAAAGTGTAAAATTATCGAAAAATTTTATTTTAATTTAAAATATACGAAGTTAATTACTTAGCTACGACATTGTGTTACAATTTTAGATTGTCAAATTAAGTGCGTCATTTTTCTTTTATTCGAAATTTCAACCTTAAAAATGACAAATTAGAAAATTTCAACCTTAAAAGTGACAAACTCAGTATGAAAATGATTTCTTCAGTTTAAATCACATTTATAAATAGAAAATAAAGTTTATAATTTAAATTACTTCATTCCATCTTTCACATGCACTCTTCTTTTGCAACAAACAAGTAAAGTTGAAATTTCAAATAGCTTAGTGACAAATTTTAATTGCTTCCTTCTTGTTCTCTCATAATTTTTACTTTTTATAATTTGTTTTTTTTTTTTTTTACTTTTTTTCTCTCCATATCTTTGTGTTTGTTTTTTATCAAGGCTGAAATTATTTCCAAAAAGTTTTATTTTAATACTTCATACAAATTCGTTTTTCAATCCATGAGTTAAGGTTATGAATTTATTATTTTTGAAATGATTTAAGCATTTTTATTCTCCCTTTTTTTTGGAAATATGAAAAGAAAGTATTGAAGTTTTTCATTTCCAAAATTTTGATGATATTTGTTTTAATTAAATTTTTAATTTGATAATTAAGATTGCTTACTTTTTTCCTCTTCTTTTTACCTATTTAGTCCTAGGTAAAGAAACATTACTTAACCATAGTAAAATGGTATGTTCAATATTTAATTTTTAACTTAATATTTCAATTATTTTCGTTGCTTGGGAAAAATTCTAAAGCTTACACATGTCTTGTTAGGTAAAATTTTTTACCTCATGCTTGTGGGATTTTTCGAGACTGCTAATGAATAAAATAATTACATTAAAATTAAATAAAAGGCATTTCTCAGTTATCAAATATTGAATCGAAATTCATTTTTGTTTTTGTTAGTTTTTCTTCCATCTATTATTGATTTATATTCTACATTTTTCTTTAAACTTTCTTACATTTTTAATTTTCTTTCATTTAGTTTTTTTTTTTTTTTTCCTTCTTTCTTTGTTATAAAATTTGATTGTAAAAGGAAAAAAAAAAAGGTACTGCAAACGAAAAAGGGAAAAGAGCACATCAAAAAGCACAATTTGCATATTTTTAATTAAAAATTTATTACTTTTAGTAATGTTAAAAAGTTATGAAAATTTCCTTCCTCATTGACATCGTAAATATGTAATAAATTGACATAAATGAAAATTAAGTTGAGAAATTGCAGAAAATTAAATTAGATGGGAATGATGTAAACTAAATTAGAAATGAAAAAAGGTGAAACAAAATATGTCCTATAATAGCAATATAAAAAAATTTAAATAATTAAATAAAGTTAAATATAGTAGTTTTAAATTAATTTTTTCCAAAGAAAATGAAGTAAAATTTATATTTAGTGCTAATGTAAGGAAATGAAAAATAAATAAAATTTGAATTGAATTTTAAATTCCATGATATGAATAAAACTAATGGAAAAAAAAAAACGATATTCTGGCGTTACAAGTCATCATTTTCGCAAAAATTTTTTGAACTAAATTCGAATTTCATTTATATTATTATGCTTTTTTCAGATATTAGTTATAAAAATAAAATTAATTACTGTACAAACTTTTTTTTTTTTTTTTTTTTGATAAAATCATGAAACTTTCGCATAAAATAATTTGAAAAATAAATGACAGATTGTTCTTTGCTAAGTTTTCTTTGGTCAATTTATTGAAATTAAAACAGGAAAACTTAGGAAATGAATTTTTTTGTTTGAAAAAAATGATATTTCAAAAAGTTGATATCGTGAGAAAAGTTTTTAGTGCTATCATTCTTCTCTTATCAATTTCAATAAATTTTATCACAATATCTTTCCTTTGTTTGACATTCTCACTCAATTCGAATATATGAACATAAGTTATTATTCATGAACTAATAAACATTTCAACATTCTAACTTACTTTTTGAAAGAACATTCTCAAACTTACTTTAAGAAAAATTAATAATTATGATTATTTCATAGTACTTTATATCATCTCGTTTCTGTCTTCGTTCCTTACATAATTATTTATTACATACCTGTCGTATAATTATTGTTTTGCTATAATAATTTAATAAAACTGACACAGTGAGTAATGACATTCTCATACCATAGTCGTCTCGATCAATATTAAAATTCTATTGGGTTCTGATCAAATGTCATATTGCATACTGTACATACCGTATGTGCAAGAAGTGTTCATGTATACATGTGTCTTCTTACCGTATCAACAAAAGTAAAATGTGGTTTTTACAATTCAAATAAGTTCATATAAAGAGTGGTTAATGTTTTAAAGTTACCACGATTAAGCTAAATCTTTCCTCTAGCATACGGTAGCATTCAAATGTTACTACGGTAGAGTTGATACAGTATACTGTATTAAATAATGCACAAATATCTGTATGCATGTGTACTTGTAAAGTTTAAAAAAGTATTATAGTGAAACGTTTCAAAATTAATTCTAATATTCTCTCAAAATATTTACTATTTTGAAATATTCAAACTGAACAAGGATTCATTTTAGGTTTCATCAAAATTATCTTCTCATCGATTTTAAAATGATTGGAATGATCAGAAAGATAATGATGAAGTGATAATATGATACGCAAATGTTTACTATAATTACAGTAACAACTAATAAATTTCTATTACTACTACTAACACTATTACCAACTATGGCATTTTTCTTCGGCTCCAGTACTGATCAAAATCATTGCAATCGTTTAAAAGTTGAACAATGTTTCAAAACTGCCTTTCAGGTATTCTACACTTTTTTGAATTTTTTTTTGAAATTTATTTTGGAGTAACATTTGTTTTTCTTAATTTCAAAAACATACAAATAAATTAAAATAAGACAATATTAAAACGCAAAAGTTGGCAAAATCATCTCTTTTAAAATTACTTAAATTCTGACTTCCTTTTTCTAAAAAAGATTTGCGTGTTTTTATCAAATTTTTTATTGAAATAATTTTCTTTTTATTAAAATTTCCAGCATATAATTTCAACCACTGAATCAAAGTATTTACTAAATAATATTTATCAATTTTTATCCTTTACAAATTTTAAATACAATACAGATTCAAGAAAAGGATTAAAAACGTTTTAGACAATGCGTATTCGACGAAATGTTGATAACAATCAAAGTCGATCAACAGAAACGTCGAAAGTACGACATCGATGTTCGTTGAGAAGCGTAACACACGTGATGATGCCAAGAAATCAGCACTTATGTGCTGCAAATCGACATTACTTATCGTGTTTCAATAATGACGCATGCCAAGATGATTATACGGCACACGTAAATCACTTTATTCTTTTTAGAGATATTTAATTTTATATAAAAATTTTTAGAAATATTTAAAAATAAACGTTACAATTAAGTGGTGATTTTGTTACAAAATTCACATTTCTTACATTTTTTATCTTTCAAAATGCAAAAACAAATATTTATCACAAATTTTAGGGCAAAATTTTAACACTTTATTTTTGAAATTTTTGTGATAGCTCTTAAACATTCCAAAATTTCTTCTAATTATGCAACAGTTCTTTAAATAGGTATAATTGTAACATTTATAGATTGCATCAACTGTATTTAACCAAATTCACGGGCGCATTTTACCGATACAAATGTTTTTAGCACATCGAGGATATGCTCTACGGGTAAGTTTATCTTTTCAAAATTAAAACATTGAAATTAAGTGATACAATTTTATTTGATTTAGCTGTTTAAATTGCAATAATACTTAAAATTTATGAGTACATTTTATCGATCGATTGATCGAAATTCGTACAAAAAAAGAAAAAAGAATGAAAGAACCCTTTGGTATTACTGTGAAAAAATATTTATTCTTATTTACCAGCTGAGTTATTTATAAAAACGAGAATAATGAATTGTCAGATATTTCATTTTAAAAAATTGCTTGAAAATTATTTTACAAATAATTTTCAATGTTTTGCAAGAAATTTGTAGAGGATCGTTTTTGTTGGAATAGAATCGAAAATATTTTGTCGATTATAATATGCATGTTAATTTGAAATGATTTATTTTTCTGATTTTTAAACTAATAACTTTCATTTTTATCGTTGAAAAATGAAAAATGAAGAAAGTTATTTGAAGTAAATAACAAAAAAAAAAAAAAAAATGAATGATTGGCATTTACATTATATTCAATTAATTCCTAAAACTTTTTATTTATCTTCACATGTCCTTTTTGCAAAAAATGCAATAATCTATGAAATTTTCATTGCTTTTTTCAATTTCTCTTATTTTTCAAACTTTATGAAATTAAATCATCAAAAAATGGTGGAAAAAGTTATGATGAAAAAATATTACAAGCATATTTAAATAGAAATTTTAATATCTTACTTAAGCATTAATTGGTTATGTTATGTTTTTCTAATTAGGTATGTGTATAAAATATTATTTTGTTTGTTTTATTAAATTATTTAATTCCGACCTGAAAAAAAAAATAAAACTGAAATTTGAAAGTTTTATAAATAAAATTTATTAATTCATTTTATTTTGTTCAGATTAAATAACACTCAGCTGATAATGCTTTCAATGTCACATGAAAATTTTAATACATGTTATTTATGCTACTGCATTCATATTTACTAATGTTTACTTGTTTATATTTTTGTAACTGTATAGTATTTATTATATCGTACTTTTTTTATCAATTATATTTTCTAATTAATTTTTACTAAGTTCATTCATTTTTTTTTCCCTTACGTTCACTTATTTTAACTTACTTTTTGAAACAACTATGAATATGATTTGAGTGTTTATTTCTTTAAAATATAAAAATTTACATTAAATTAATATATTTATTATAATTAATATTTATTTTAGCTATGCTCACAGACTTGCTCACATGAAAGTCGCATGAAATGTCAACAAATGCTAAGCATTGAGGAACGACAGGAAGAGCAAGGAAATTACTTGAAATTGGTGAAAATAGCAAAGAAAATAAGTCTATCAGATTTTGTTGATGAAATTAACCTATGCCATCGCTTTAAAATGACATTAAGGAAGGTAATAGCATTTGATTTATAAATTTTGTAACAATGCATATTTAAATAATCTAATTAAATTAAATCCAATTTTTAAATTATCAATTAAAAACAGAAACTTTTTTTAAGCTTACAGTTTAAAATCTTCATATTTTTCTCAACTTATAACAAAACATATTTAATAGTTCAATTGTATAACGCAATTAAATTTAATATTCAAATTATTTGAATTACAAGCAATTTATACTTATGATGTCAAATATACTTAACAGTTTTTCATTCTTCCTATTAAGTATGCATTTTAATAATAGCATTTCTTTATATATGTATATTTTTTTTTTTTCAAATAAATGATTATTTTTAAATTGGGTAATATTTTAGAAATTATTATTGTTAACCTAAGAAAATACTTAATATTTTTCAGCTTATCCAGTACCGTACACGATTTTGTGGTGAAGTAGCGAAATGTATTTGCAATGATATGAATATTCAGGCAGGTGTGATGCATTGTAAAGCAGGTTGTGATAGTATTGTTGAAAAAATTACAACAGTTAAATCAAGAAGAAATAAAATTTCATCAAAAGCAAATGCAATTTCATTTAATAATTTTATTACTTTATTCATTCTATTCAGGTTATCGTAAAAAAAAAAATTGAAAAATTTTTGAATAAGATGGCTAATTAATTTTATTGTATAATAGTTTTTATTAACATTTTTTTTTTCATGTATATTAATAATTGAAAGTTTAGTATATACAATAATATATTTATGATTAATGTATAATTGATTTATGATTAAAAAAATTGAAAGCAGATCAATATATATATACAAAATATCATTTGTAGGAAATTTTTTGCTGAATTTAATAACAAAAATTAAAATTTAATCACATTATCTACATCCATATTTCATGTACAGTTGCACTAAAATTTGCTAATGTTTTTGATAAAATTTATTGAAGTATTAATGGATTTTTGTTTTTTTATAAAGAATTGGAAAAATCGAATAGGCGCTTTTCTGAGAAAAAAGTAAATCAAATCAAAAAGTAAACAAATCAAAAAATAAATATCATGTAAATGGTCAAAGATCTTTGAACATCCTTAATAAATGCACTAATATTTCATTTTTTCTAAAATGCACTAATCTTCTTGATACATAATTATTGAAACAGCATAGTCAAAGAAATAATTATGCAAAATGCATATTAGTAGACTTTATTAATATTAGTAATTGAGTATATCATTTCCAATATGTACAATTAGTTTATCAGTAAACTGTAAAAGTAGCAATAGGAAATTTTAATTTTTGATTAGTTCAATTCATCGTTTCCTTCTTTTTTTTTTCTTTCATTTAATCTAATTCTTCCGTTGGTAATGCTTTTAGAAATAGAGAATTTTCAAAAAGATTCTCTTCTTCAGAATCCATTGATGGTAAACCAGGTTCCGGTACATCAGACATTAAACCTTGGCCAATCCATTTATGCACCTGTTTACACTTAGCCTTTAATAATTCAATTCGTTCCAAAGGTGAAAGCTGTGGTTTCGTATAATTAGCCCAGTCATCACTCTCGACATACATCTCATAATCATGTCGAGCTTGAATCATTTCATCTATGATTTTTGGTTGCTCGTTAACATTTAAGTGCAAACTGAAATTATAAAAGTGAATTTAAAAATTTCCAAAAAAAAAAAAAAAATTCAAAAATTACACAAAAAGCAATAATGACTGTAAGAAATGTAATAAATTGTATATTTACTTTTTTTTTTTTTTTTTGCTTCTCTTTTTATAAAATTTTCTAAAAATTTACAAAAATTCTACAGCTGAAAAGATATGCATGAATTATTTATGATTGAAAATTTCACTTTTCATAAGCTAATTTACTGTTGTTTGTTGCAAGCTAGATTGACAATAAATCAAATTCAAACATTTGTTTTAAAATTTAAAATTACTTTAAATAAATCACAAATTTTAATTGAAGTCAAATAATTTTTATGAAAATAAGAGTTTGTTTTTTTTCTCTTACGAATATGTATCAGGAAATACTGCAACAATTCGCGCAATTGTGCAAGCTTCAAGTTTCGGAAAACCAAATTTTATTGCAAGTCGTAAAAATTGAAGTGTATTAGCTTCACATGGTGGTTGTGGTGTATTGCATAGCTAAAAAATAAGTCAAATAAATTTTGACTAACTGTAAATAATCATTGATTATGAAAAAAATAAAAATAATAAAATTAAAAAATAGAAATAACAAAGATTTAATTAAGGAAATTTTTTTCTTGAATAAATAATTTAGTAATAATCAGTAAAGCAAGGATAAGTAATAATGCTAAGTAGCACTGATATGAAAGATATTTATGATAGTTAATAATGATAATATTAGTTAAATAAGCTTTTTTTCCTAAATTTGCAAACAAAAAGTAAAATGTCGATAAATACAAAAAAAAAAAGAAAAAACACGGATAGTTCTTTCTTCTTATGCAATTGATAAAATATTTGATAAAGAAAGATAAAATCAGTGAATTGAATAACTCGAAATAACGCATGTTTTGATAATTAATTAATTAATTAATGCATGGCTATGATCTAAAATGAATTAATCAACAATCAATCAATAAATAATCACTAAAACCTTCTGAAAGATGCGACAAAAATCATCGTCATGCATTTGTAACAATTCCTTATACATCAGTGGTTTTAATAAATTCAAGCAAGCAAGAAATTTTTCATAATTATTAAAATCACTGGAATTAAAACTTCCACCAAAATATTTCACATCACACATGCCAGTAAATGCAAATGATAATACCTACAAATTGAAATATTTGAATAATTATTGTAAATCAATATCTAGAAATTTTAAACTATTTAACTAAAATTATCAATTGAAATAAAAATTGACCACTTAAAAATTCCATCAATTTCTGTTTCTAATTTTAAACTAAATCATCTAAATTTGTTAATTGAAATTAAACTAAATAATTATCTTCTAGAGTTTTGAGTACTTTTTTTTTTGAAGTAATTTCATTCATAAACAGAGAGACCTAACAATTTGTAATGACAATAAATTAAAACAAAAAAAAAAGATGAAATTCTATGAAAATAATTTCAAATTAAAATTTGAAACATCTTTTTTTTTTTTTTGAAATAGCTTTTTTATTATTGCTTTCCTATTTCAAAATAAAATATAAAATGAATTAAATTACTATCAAAAAATGATTGATCAGTTTATTTAAAAAATACCTGCTCAACTGTTGCTGATTTAAATTCCAAACTGACTGAATTTCCTTCCGGATTACTATCCATGTAATCATGAAAATATCTGCATGTTATGTATAAACAATGCCGATTATATAATAATGTTTCATCGATGCATTCAACATAATAGAATCTGAAAATAAACAAAAACGGAAAAAAAGAAAAAAGCGAAAAATTTTTGTCATTTGATAAAATTTGTTATTAGCAAAAATTAAATTTTAAAATTTAATTTCAAATTTGAAACTGTTTGTATGTTTGTTACATCGAAAAGTTATACTTTACCAAAAATTTGTTTTTAAATTTTTTTTTTTTGATAAATTTGCTAACTTTCCTTGCATGAATTTGGTTTTTTGCATTTAAAAAAACTATTTTTAGGTACAAAAAATTAATATATTTTCAAATATTGTAATTTTTTTTTTTTTCATTGTTAACACATTTTAGTAATATATTATTCATTTTCAAAAATTCATGCGTACATTTAATTCAAAATTTTTACATTTAATTAATTAACTACTTTACAATCCATTTACATTTCCATTTTATAAATCAAATAGTAAGGTGAAAACATATATGAAAACAAAGTATATTACTTATTTCTACGATTAATTTTTTTTTTTTTAATTTACTGTGATATATTACTATTATTGCTATTGTTAACTTATGAATTAGTTAATTAATAACATTTCAAATTTTTTTAATTTTTTTTATTGAAAACAAGAAAAAAAGAACGAATTAAAAAAAAATTAATAAGGATTTTGATAAAAACATACGGTTCAGCAGCTTTTTCAACAAATTTGAATGCTTTAAATCGTTCATCAGTTTCATCTTGCGGTTTTAATTGAAGTAATGGAAATAAATTAACTTTTGGTACGACATAATTGAAATCATTTATTGCAAATGCTAATTTTATTTCAATTTTTAATTGACCCCAATTAAATTCATCATTTTCATATAATTTTGTTAATGTTTCCGTATAATGTGGAACAAATTCTACACGATGATTTAATTGTTGCCAATGTGCTGGGAAGCATTCAACTGCAAAATTCTTCTTTATTTCTTATTTATTTTAATTTCTTTTTTTTTTTTTTTTCCAAATTTATTTTACAAAAATTTTGAATCATTTTATAACAAAATCGAAATAAATTGAAATTTTTTGCAGATACAAGGACAATGAAAATGAAAAAAAACAAAAAAGGAGGAAAAAAGGAACAAAAAATAGGAAATGGAAAAGGTCAAAAATTTTTTCAATTTATTAATTTTGAATGAAATAATAGGAAAAAATTAATTTTCATAATTTTATTTTGTACATTTCAATAGAAAAATGAATTTTTTGAAAAAATTATTTATTAATCTTTAATTGCTTAATGTAATTTCATCCATTCAGCTTTCTTTTTTCTTTTTATTTATTTTTTTTTTTTTTTTTTTGTAATTTTAGATTTCAAAATTGTTTTCTTTTCACCTTTTAAATTAAAATAAAAGTTAATTTTTTAACTTTTTTTTTGTTAAAAAATTGATAATTTTGCTTTATGTAAATATGTGAGCAAAAAGAAACACTAAAAAGACACTCAAAAAAAAAAAAAAAATTATTGTACTATAAAATTTTTAATTGCAAGAAAAAAAAAAAAAAATGGAAATTACAAAAGCTAACTTCTTCTGCTTGTTTTTGACTGTGCACGAAATTGCACTCGAAATTCTCCTTGAATGTCAACATCAGTTTGTCGTACTAATGTAATCATAAATTCTCGTCCTTTTTTTCTTACATGCAATGTCCTGTGAATTTAAAAAAAAGATTATATACTTCATTAACTTTAATTGAAAATAAGTTTTTCATCAAAAAAAAAAAAGCAAAAAAAAAGTGCCGAAAAAAGCGGAGAGAAAAAAAAATGTAAAAAAAAAAAAACGAAAAGTAAAAAAGGAATAAAGGAAAGAGGAAAAAGCGGAAGAAACCGAAGAGAATGCGGAAAAAATGAATGAAGCGGAAGAGAAAGAAAAGAATGCGTTGCGGAAAAAAGTCAAAAATATATGCTTTTGAATAAATAAATGAAAAAAAAAAGAAATTTATTTGCATTAAAATTATATGAAATAAATATTAAAAAAAAAATTGATTTATTATTTGTGTTAAATAAATGTTTGTAATGCTAAATTGTTTGATTATAATATTTTGTTTTGATTATTGCAATATTAAATTAAATTCAAAGCGATAATAAGTAATTAAAACATTAAAAAAAATATATTAAAGAAAAAAAAAAAGGAATATTAAATTATCTTTCAGTAGAAAATATCAATTTACTGAACTACTCAATATCAATATATTGAATTGATCTAAAATTCCGAATTTCCCACTTTTTTTTTTTTTGATCATAATTAAATGTTTTTTTTGTTTAGAAATTTTTTGTTCAAAAAAATAACAAATTAGTTGTTTTGAACAAAAAATATTAAATCATTAAAATATTAGATTGAAATTTTAAAAAAAGAGAGGGAGAAAAATGTTAAATTATTTGAATATATTAAATTATTTTGATTATTACAATATCAAATTGCATTCAAAAAGATAATAAATAATTGAAACATTAAAATAAAATGAAAGGACTAAAAATTTACTAAAATATTAGATTTTATTCAAAAAAATAGAAACAAAATAGAACTAAAGACAAGTAAAAAATATAAATAATTAGATGAATTTAGCAATCAAAAAAGTTGTAATTTTGGAAAACAAAAAAATGAATTTAATTCTTCCAAAAAATTTAATTTATCATCAAACTTCTGCAAAATTCTTTTTAAATCATATTTCTAGACAATTCATAAAAAAATTAAATTTAAGATTTGAAAATAATAGAAATATTTTTAATTTGCAAGAAAAGATTTGAAAAAAAAAATTCATTTTCGGCTTTTGTATGTTTCATTAAAAAAAAAAAGTTTGTTTAAATTTATTATTTCCATTTCATTTAATTCAATTCATTTTCTTCTTCCATATAATACCAAATATTAAAATGTACTGCCAAAAATTTTCTCTGACAAAAATTTCATTTCAATTTTTTTCCATATTTCATTTAAAATTTAAAAAGTTGTTTTATATAAATACGAAAATGAGTTTTTTGATGAAAAATTTTTTGATGCTAAAATTTGATTTAAACATTTTTTGAAATAACTGACGAGGAAACAAAATTTCCTTACAACATTTAAACAAAAAGTTTTAATCTGCTTTTTTTGCCACGAGAAAAAAAAGAAAGAAACTGTTTAATTAAACTTTTGTTTTCAAAGTTAAAAATGCTTAATTACAAAATCAAAAAAGAAGAAAGTGTTTAATTAAATTTGTCTTTTCGATATATCCAATAAAAGAACAATGAAAAAGGAAAATTGTTAAATTGAAAAAATTAATTTTTTTTTTCGGATTGTTTAAATACGAAGTTTTTTTTTTTTCATAGGAATAATTTCTAATAGTAACTTAACAAACAATTTAATTAAATATTACTAATTTTAATACTTTCTTTCATAAAAATTAAAATGACGTGAATATCTCTCACGTAATGATTTCACGTAATGTCGTGAGAAATTTGCAATGATTGCTATCATTTAAAAATTTCATTTAATGATACTATTTTTGATTAAATTATCTATCATTCATGATAATTAAAATATTGTATAATTTAAAAATGGTATAATAGTATAATAATTTAATAATATTATAGAACAATGCAATAATTGATAACTTTTTTTTTCAATATAATAATTTAATTTAGTATTACTAATTTTGATAGTATTGCATTTTGATAATGTCTTGATAATTAGCTCTTATGTTAGTTAAAATGACGTAAATATCTTTTTTTCGTAATAATTTAATTAGTATTTTAATTCCAATTTAATTAAATACCATTCGATATATCGCACACCATGAACGGTTGCAAATAGCGAACGACCAATTTCTGTTGTAATTACGTCTTTACGCATTTTAAGATAATAATAATGCGTAAAAATCACTAACATATCACTTTCTTTCATATAATCACTTGCAAAATTTGGATAAATTCGACGTATTAACTGTTCATTTTCAGGATGACTAAAATTTAAAATTAAAAAGGAGAAAATTATTTTTTTAATTTTCAAAATAAAATCAATTTTTTAAATTTTTAAACAAAGACAATTTTAAAACAAAAACATTTTTTTTTTTGCTAAAAAAAAGAAAAATAAGCAAAAATATATAATAATAAATTATTATTTTAAAGTAAAATTATATGATAATTAATAATAATACAGTTTACAAGAAAACATGAAAACAAATGATAAAAGAAGAGAGAACAAAAATAATCAACAAATATTTCAAATTTTTAATTTTAAACACATACATAAAAAAAAAAGAAAATATTATAAACATTATTTACAAAAAAAAAAAAATAGTAACAAGAAATTTGTAGTGTTAAATTTTTTAATTGAATATCAATCAATTTAATAAAAAAATTGTTTATCAATGAATTTAATCATAAAAATTTTATTCCTTACAAAGTAAATATTTTATTTACTTTATTTATAGCAATTAAATCAATTCAAAAAAAAAAAAAAAAAAAAAAAGAAAATTATTAATTGATAAAATGAAAAAAGAATTACCCTAATCTATAAGTTGAACCAAGATCAATTCCTAAATCACTAAATGGAGTACTAATTAATGACATCCGTGTTGTCAAAGACCAGTAAATTATTAAAATGAAAATAAAAAGAAAAAAGTTATCAAATGAAACAAAAACTAATATTCCACTCATTATATGTTATTTTTTAAAAAATTTCTATAAGAAATTTTACATAATAATACAATAACAAAAAAAAAAAGAAAAATTTACATAAATCAGGAAAAATAAATTAAATCTTTTTTTTTTAACTTATAATTTAATTGCTTTCATGGAAAAAAAAAATAATTTTTTTTTTCTTTTGCAATAAATTATCAAAATTCTCTTAGAAATTTAGAATCAAAATATTTTTAAAAATACATATTAAAATGAATAAATGCAATTCTAAAAATGGTAAAATTTTGTAAATGTGATATAAAAATTTCTAATTACAAAAATTAGTTAACAAAATTCGAAAAAAAAGTGAGAAAATCATCGTAGAATTATGAGAAATAATTTGTTCGATGATTAAGTGATAATATTATTTATTTCGTTGATATGAAAAATTGAAATTATCAAAAATTTTTATAACATTAAATTTTTTCATAGTTTTTTCTCTTTTTTTTCATTTCATACATAATTTATTGAAACTTATAATTGCAATAATATGTAAAAATTAATTATAAATTGAATATTTCAATTTTATTTTTTGTTTTTAATCAATTAATGTAATACAATTTGAATACGATCAAAAAAAAAAATGATTAAAAATTTATTGAAAAGCAAAAAGATAACAAAAAAAAAAAAAATATTTACAACAAATATTGCTTATTCAATAATTTGTTATAATAAATTGAACAATAAAATGCACAGTATAATCATTTCATAAATTTAATTTAATTTAAATACCAAGGAAATTATTATATGTTACAAAATTATTTTCAAATATTTCTGCAGAAATTATTTTTGAACAAAGTTTTTTTTTTTTATGTTCCAAATTTGTTTATTGAATTTTTACTGGTATAAAACTGAAATATGAAAATAATGCAATAGTATTTATTTAAAATGGATGCAAATCATAAATTTAAGTAACAAAATTTTCACGCATTCATTTTTTTAACAATTTCAAAAAACAATTTTTCCTCACAAAACCTATAAATAAGAAAACAATAATTTTATCTTCAAAAAACAAACAAACAAACAAACAGAAAAACAAAAAAACAAAAAATTATTGATCAATGAAATGCTAATTGAACAAAAATAAATAAATAGTATTTGAGCCATAATTTGAATAATTGAGCTGAAATAAATAAACATTTGAGGAATAAATTGAATTTGAAGAGAATTAAATCAAATTAAATTAAATTATAATAAGCTTTTTGATAAATTCGTAAGCCAAATAAGTCAGATGCAGATTTTGGAAGAATTTTCATCGCATTTGTCGCCCAACGATGCTTTACAATATGCCAACGCCACTAAAAAAAATGAAAAAATAATTTTGTTTTTTGTTCTTTTCACAGAATTCGCTTTTTTCTTTTCTTTCGAAGAATTAAAATTGAATAAATATTAATAATTCAATTATTTTAATTAAGTAACTTTTTTTTTCAATGCTACAAATTTGACTAAAACAAATAAATAATTGGAAAATGATTAAACAAATATTTTGATTTTTTTCTTATTTTTTTTAATTTAATTAATTAATTTAATTTTTGTCGAAATTTATTAAATGTTACAGTAATTTTCTAAATCCAGAAATACTATTTTTTAAGCAAAAAAAGGACAAAAAACATTATAATACTTTTTTTCTAATTTATTAAATCAAAATTACTAATTCTAATTTATTAAATCAAAATTACTAAATCTAATTTATTAATTCAAAATTACTAATTCTAATTTATTATTTCAAAATTACTAACCTTTGTGGAATATTTCGAACATTGATCACATTTCTTTTCATATTTACATTCTTTTTCGCTATCATTTAATTGCTTAATATAACCAAACATTGCAAATTTTCTAAAAAAAAAAAAAAAAAAACAAATTTTCATTTTCTTTATATTTTTGAAATTTTTTAAATTTTATTCAAAAAAATTTTGATTTATTTTTTCTTTTTTTGGTTTGAAAAATTTTATTACTTTAAAATTTATACCTTTGCTGTGTACATATTGAAAATTTTTGATCATTTTTTTCACTAAAGCAAACCAATTGTGTATATTCCATTCCAGTTAAATTATCACAGTAATGAAATGACGATTCCATCGCCTATTGTTTTTATTAAATTTTATTCAGCAAACTTTTTTGATTTATAATTATTTGTTTATTTATTCCTTTATTTGTTTACTTTTTCCTTCTCTTTCGTATCAATTATTTGCTTATCAGTTAACTTATTTATTTAATTAAATTCTCTCACTTATTATTTGTTTACTAATTTATCCATTCAATAATTTTTCATTTATTATTTATCCGACTATTTTTCTGTTTAATTTTTTTTTCTTTTTACTAATTTATCCATTCAATAATTTTTCATTTATTATTTATCCGACTATTTTTCTGTTTAATTTTTTTTTCTTTTTTTAAAATGTATTATTTACTGATTATTTTCTGTAAAGAATAAAAAAATAAAATAAAATTTCGCTATAATACTTTTATTTATTTTTTTTCAAATAAACTTATAAATTATTTCTTACTCGAGCGTGAATTGCCGATTCACTTAATCCGGTCATATCGGAAAATGATATTGGTAAAGTACTATTATTATTATTGATTATTAGATCATCATTATATGCCGGATAACAATGATTTAAGTTACCATTTTCATCTGATACATTCTCTTTCAATCGTATTTGACGATTAACCTATAATTAATTTAAATTTGAAACCAAATTTAAAAAAATATGTTAAAATATCATTAATTTACAGTTTCAAAAAACAAACAAACATATAAAAATTTTTTGTATTTGATTATTTCACTAAATAACTTCATTTTTACGTACTTTTTTCTAATAATAAAAAAGGAATTACTTGTACTAATGCATAACCATTATTATATACAGCTAAGCGTAGAATATTAACAATTTGATCACACGTCAAACGTCGTACGTCAACGCCATTCACTTTTAGTATTTGATCACCTTTGTAGAGAATTTTTGACTGTAACATAGATCGAAATATCGAAATATATGAAATATAAAACTGATTTTATTCATTTTTATTTACAATTTCTGCATAATTAGCATAAGTTTGATATGCTATAAGTTTATAAGTTTCTTTTTTCTTTTAACTTTTTGTCGCGGATTTTAACATCGCGAAGCACTAAACAAATGTTAACAATGCTTAATATAGCAATCCATTGATGTCTTTTGCAATTCATCGTAATGGCTTAACTGACTTTTGATCTTATATCAATTCATATACTATGAGCATCTATCATGTAATGTCTATTGCAACTCATAGTAGCCACTTATCATAACGTCTGGACAAAACATTGTACTCTCTTTCGTGATATCCATCCAATTCATCGTGATATCCATTTTTAAACTTATTGTTAAAGTTACTTACTATCATCCTTTGTACAAAAATGTCTAATTATAAACCACTCCCACATTTTAACACATATAATGTAAGATAATTGCTATATAAGGATCACCCTTGTTAAAAGAATTAGTATATGTGTAATTTATCGCTAAGGACCGACGATTTCAATTTCAATTGTTCTCTATCAACGTTTTTGTCCTATTACTTCGCTATCTCACGTATTTACATTTACATCTTAAACAATCTCCCTGCGATCAATATTATTATTATTAATTAAACATATTATTAATTAGACAATCAAAGCCTTCCACGACACCTTTTTGTTTTCTTTTTTTGACCTTTCTTAGCCAAACTTTAAATTATACCTTATCCTTAATTTTAGGCAAAATTTTTATAAGTCACAAATTTACATTAAAATGAATAAACAAAAAAGTGATGTAAATTAGTGAAACAGTTAACATTTGATTAGTTATAGATTATTAAACTTTTTTTAAACTTTTAAAAATTATATTTATGTTTATTTTCCCAATTTCTTTGTCTACTATGATATAATTGATGTAATTTATAAATTACATCCATGTTTATTTTTTCCGTTTCACTGATTGCTATGGTAAAATTGATAATACAAATAGAATCAATGATAAATATAAATTGAAAAGAATGAAAAAGGAAAATAAGCAAAATACAAATAATCAAGCACTTTTTAATTTTCTTTTCCGTTTTTTTTTTTCTTTGCTTTCACTATTATTACAAAATACCTGGTTAGATTTTTGATTCACGTACTGTATGAAAACACCACGTGTTTTGCTTCCGGTTAATCGAAATGCTAATGCACCACTGATTGATCTATCCGGTTCTAACCGTATTTCCTGTTGCCATTTACTTTCATCACATTCATCGAATTTAGTAGTGAATAAATTTGCAATATTCATTGTTTTCCTTTTCTGATATTTATTATTTACATATGTATATTCTAAAAATTTAATTTTGAATAATACTAATATTATTAAATTAATTGACAATATTAGTATGAATAAATTATTAGTTAAAATTTTTTAAATTAACACAAAAAATTAATGATAATCAATTATTTGAAAAATTTCCCTTTAATGTTTATCCAAAATTTATTTTTATTCGAGAAAAAAAAAAAAAAAAACGTATTTATATACCACTGCATAACAAAAAATATTTCATTATATTGGACTATGGAAAAATCAAAAAAGCAAAACGAGGATTATTAATTTTTTCTTCTTTTAATTAATAAATTAGTAATAATTAATGAATTTTTCAATATATTGAAAATTATAAAAATTTTATATTTTGGTTCTCATAAAGAATTTTTCATTGGTTGAAATATATTTTCAAAAAAAAAAGGAGATAAAAGTTTTAAAATGATTGGTTGATGGAGGTAAATATTTGTTCTTATACGAAAAAAAAAGATAGCTGTTTATTTTGAAAGAATAATTTGTTAAATAAAATAAATTGATAGCTTGAATATTAATAAAATTATTAAATTTCAACCAAAAAATTTGAAAAATAAAATTATATTATCATAAAATACTGGTATCATATTAATATTATAAATTACTATTAAAAAATATTAGAATTGTCATTGTGAATCATTTTAAAAAAAGAAAAACAATAAATTAACAATGCTAATTGCTTCATTAACTTAAACATTCTTTAATTTAAATTTCTAATTAAAAAAACAAATAAAATTTTTTCACTAAATTATGGTTTTTTTTTTTTAAAAAAAAAAAAAAACAATCAAAACAATTAAATGTAAAAAATATGAAAATTATTTTAGCAATTTGCAAAAAAAGAGACAAAATGCTTTTCATTGATAAAATTATGCGATTTAAATTTTTTCTAATTGAGATATGAAACTGAAATCAAAAAATGAAAGTATTTTTTATAAAATGTGAACAAAAAAAAATTTTTTTAACTTAAATTTGAACTCAAAAAAAAGATATAAATTCTTTCACTTTCTTTTCCTTTTTCCACTAAAAGAATATAGGTAGAACTTTATAACAAAATTAAATGAAAAATAAAATTATATTATCTAAAAGTAAAATAAGTAATTCAGTAACACTGTTGGCTATTACTTATATCAGCTAGTAAATAATGTAAATAAGCCTTAACTTTGCAGCAATTACGAGAAGCTCCATGGGAACGAGTGATTGGTAGCCAAGAGACAGAAGGAAAAAAGCAAGAAAACAAACATGAGATGAAGTCAAGAACAAAAAAAAAAAGACAAGAAAGCAGATATAAGGTAAAGCCAAGAAAAAAAGTAGGAAGCAGATATAAGGTAAAGCCAAGAAAAAAAGTAGGAAGCAGATATAAGGTAAAGCCAAGAAAGCAGATATAAGGTAAAGCCAAGAAAAAAAAATGAGAAGTAAAAATCTAAAGCAAAGCTGAGAAAAAAAGAAGGAAGCCAAGAAAAAAGCCAAAAGAAAAAAGTATGAAAGAAGCCAAGTGAAAAAGGGCAGCAAATATAAGGTAAAATGAAACGAAAAAGAAAATTGAAAGCAAATAAAATAAAATTATATTAAAAAAAAAAAAAAAAAAAAAGAAAACTAAAAGGCAAACATAAAGTAAAGCCAAGTGAAGAAAGAAATAAAAAAAGCCAAAGAAAAGAAAAGTAAAATGAAAAAGTATAAAAATTCATTTCATTATCAATCAAATTGAAAAATATAAAAATTATTAATTCTTATTCATAAAAAAAAAAAAAAAAAAATGGACAAATTTTAACTTTTTAAAAAAAGAAAAAATATTTAACAAAAAAACAATTTTTTTTAATAAATAATAATTTTTAATCGTTGAAATACGTTTTGTTGAAAAAAATATATTTGGGAAAAAATATTTTTTTTATTAATAAAAAATTTAAAACAAGTATTAATGATAATTTATCACTAGTTAATTAACTTCTAGTGTAGAAATATTTGCAGTATATTAGAGTTTTTAAATTGATATGTTTATCAGTTGTTGTTGTGAAATTTTTTGAATGAATTAGCAGAAGGAATGAATGATACATTGATAAGAGAATAATTAATTTGATTGGAATGAAAAAGTGTATAACAGATATGAAATGATAGCTAATGAATGATTAGCTGAATGAAATTGAAATATCGTTTGTTAAATTCTAAGCATCACTTTATTATAATTACTATTTTTTTTATTTTTAAAATAAATAAGATACTTTTGAAAACTTTTAAAAAATAGTCTAATTTAAAGGAAAAAGTTGAAAAAATGAATTAAAATTAATTCTATTCTTTTAAATAAAAATCCTTTTTAAAATTTAACTAATAAAATATATATATATTAAAGCTAGGAATAATTAAAAATTAAAAAAAACTGTTAGCAGTTTTTGCAATTCAAAATAGAAGGATTAATTTAATTTAATTTTAATTTGTTTTTTATTTTCCTTCAATCCTGATTTATACTTAATAATTATCGCAAATATTTCATAGAATTAATAATGATAGCAAGAGAAGAAGTTAAGCAAATATTTAAATATTATTTCTATTTGATCATTTCATAAACCAATAAGGAAAAAATTAATAATGAAGAAAAAAAGAAACTTTTATTGCTTTATAAAATTGAATTTTTTCATATTTTCAAGATCGTTAACAAATTTTTTTATTTCATTCTTTTTTTAAATAAAATTAACAAATTAGTTCTGTCAAAAATATTATCATGAAGATGAAAACTTCATCGCTAACTTTTTCCTTTAATAAATAAGAAAAATCATTAGAAAAAAAATTTCCGAACAATTTTTTTCTTTCAAATTTGAGAAAAAATATTAAAATTTTATATTTATTAATTGAAATAATTTTATGGTTAAATGATACACGCATAAGCAATCATTGCAAGTAATTATTTTCACTAATTAATTAATTAACATTAAATGAATTTAATTTCAGATTTTGAAAAATGATTATGATTCATAAGCGTAAATTTTCACTACAATTAATTTTTAAAAAACAAAATTTAGCTAATTAATTTAATTAATTTTTTTTAAATTTCATTACAATTAATTTCATAATTAATTAAATTAGTTTTTTTTTTTAAATCCTTCATTATTTTAGATCCATTGATTGCAAAATTGAACTGAAATTAAAAAAGTGAAGAAAATAAAAGTTTTATCTAATAATACCAATTCTTTTTATTGCTACCATTAATGAATCTAAACAAAGTAATCAAATAAAAAAAAATGAAATTAAACTTGAAATGATTTAAATAAAATTATTCTTTCATTTTTTTCTTTTTCTAACTCTTTTATTTTATTCCAACATTTTTTGCATATGTAATAAATTAAGCACCAAAAAAAAAAAAAAAAGAAAAATAAAATCAAGAAAGCTAATAATAAGAAGAAAATTCTGTATAAAAAAAAAACAAAAAAAAAAAAAAATTTCAAATTGAAGAAAGAAAACTTAAACAAATAGAATTTTTAGCAAAAATACATAAAAGTATTTGAAGGATTGAACATAGCTGAAAAAAACAATTGTAAAATAAAATTGAAATTGCTTTAGTAATTTGCCTTTTTTTTTTAAAAAAAAAAAAAGAAAAAGAGAAATTTGACATAACTGAAATATTTTTTTGTTTAAAATTTTTGTTATTTTAATGTAAATTGCTTAATTTATTTTTGAAAATTTGAGTTTTAATGAATAAAAAATGCAATAATTTGCTAATTTCAAGTATTAAATTCTTAACTATTTCTTATTGTTTCCTTTTTTTTTTTTGTTGTTATTTGCTTAATAAAATATTTAAAACAAATGAAATTTAAACTTTTGTTCTGTAAAATTTGAAAAATTGCTTATAAAATTCACCAAAGAAAAGTGAGAAAATAGGAATAATAAAAGAAAAAAATTTTCATTTATTTATTTGATTGGTTAAATGCAAAAAATTTCTAAAATTTGTATCGATAAAATTTTTAATGTTTATTCAAACGATCGAAAAAATCATTTTCGATGAATTTTAAAAAGTTTCATTTTAAAAGATTGCGGTGACAAATTTGTAAGATTTGAAAACCTATCTTAATTTTTTTTTTTTTATTATTATTTAAAATTTCAAAAATATTTACTCACTTAGAAAAATACAAAACTTTCTAAAAAGTTTGCAGGGAATGAAGAAATAGATAATTTTCAAAAAATTCATCTGTGAAAATTAATTTTAAAATTTAAAAAATCCATCATTGTTCATATTTAACTACTTGTCTCTTTCTATTCATATTGTCAAATTTCATTTCATTTTCATTTTCTCTTTCCCTCTTTTCCTTCCTATTTTTTTTTTTTTTTTCATTCATTTTTAAGTAGCATTGAAAATAGATTTTTTTTTCTGGAAAAATTGAAAAATAGATTTTTAAAAAATATTACCAAAAATTCAAACTATTATTAACGTTTTTTTTTTTTCTTTCATTTTGACAATTTACTTTTGTTATAAAAGTATTAAACTTTTCACTTTTTCCTATCCATATTTCGGCTAGCTGATTAAAATTGATTATTTTGCAAAATTGTAAAATTAAAATTATTATTTAAAAAAGTTCTAACAATAAGTTGTTAAAATTACAACAAAAAAAAAAAGAGAAATGAAAAAATAAAAGAATAAATTTTGGATTGAACAGAAGAAAATGAAATTATGATAAAATAAATTAAACTAATAGTTGGAAAGTTTAAAATATTTAAATAACAGTTAAAATATAAATTCTAAAAAATAAATTTACAAATTTTTTATTTTTTATTGAATTATTATTATTAATTATTATTGTTGTTATTTGCCAATTATTGGAATAATAACTGCAAATATTTTTAAGGAAAGAATTTTTTAAAAAGGCAAAAAAAAAAAAAAAAAAACAGAAACATATTGATTTTAAACTATTACTCATTTCTGTTTAAATTTATCCAACAAACAACAAACACTTTTTTTTATCTCA